GGCATATATCCCTTAGATGATTTCTTCCTTATAGCTACTAAAGGTCTTAGAGATTAGGGTTTTATATCTCTAATAGGAGCTACTTGTAGAGATATTATAGATAATTATCTTTAGTGTACGTTTTTTAGTGGGGGTGTCACAGGTCTATTCTCTCCCCTAAGGATCTTTACTAAGGAATTATCTCTATCTTCCTAAATTATTAAATTATGCTCCCCTTAGCTTCTTAGAACGTTAAGTTATAAGGAGGCAGTAGGTTTAGTTAGGACATAGCTTAGGAAGATAATATCTTAGGAAACAAGAACTACTTATCTTAATAGGATAAAGATCTAGTATACCTTAGGTGTGACTCTGTATCTAACAAAAATACTAAACTCTATCTAATAATAGAGTTTTATTCCTAGTTTGCGTACCTCTACTAGAATATATACTTATATATTTATTCCCTAAGAACGTAGGTTCTAGATCTAAGGTTTATAATTGTAGAGAGCTTTAAATACAGTCCCTAGAAGTTTTAAATGTAGCGCGATATTTTTTAGGTATATAGTAGTATAAATTAGTTTAGCCTAAAGGAATATTAGGCTATTATTATCTAATATTATATAGGTAGCTGTAATTATAGTTTAGTTAAAACGCTTAGCTAAACTATTTAACTTATGGCTATAGGGTAGCGATGTGCGGTAGATAATGCCCTTTTAGACAAGGAACGTCTGCAATCTAGAATCTATGTACTCTCCTCTATTATTAGTCTAGAAGACTTAGATATTAGCTTAGAATTATTGTTTAAGGTAAGCAAAGAAATCCTTAATAGTTTAGGTTGTGTTACTCTTTTTCTTAAGGAAACAAACCTATATAAATTAGGTAGCTTTGTTAATAAAAGAAATGTAGTACTAGGCACCTGCTAGTAATACCTAAGAGAATTTCCTAGACAGGTTAGAATAAATGATTTGCAGGCGCTAAGCTATAGATAGAATAGTTCGTTCCTTTAGTTTCCTGTGTACAGACTTTAAAGACACACATTAAGGACACTTAAACTCTTAAGGCTTCTCTAGAATATATTAGTAATTATAATAGAGTAGTTTTAGGTTTTAAATCTAGAAGTAACTAAGAGTATAATAGAATTCTTTAAATAATGCAAAATAAGCTCTATTATCTAGTACCTGTGTTTAAAGAGCAGCTAGTATAGCTAGGATTTGTTATTAAGAGCTAGTGTTATAATTAGGAGAGGCAGTCTAGATTTCTATTACTCTATTAGTGAATTTAGCCTACAGACTATATCTTCTATTTAGGCAAACAAGATAGAGGTAGTTACCTTTAGCTTAAAGTTCTAGACTATAATTCCGCACGTATAGCTAGCTAAAGAGTTAGGTTTAGTAGAGTTATTTACTATAAAGGACGTTAGTTAGGATAGTATTATAGGTAGATCTATTAGGCAACACGCATTTTAAATGTACTATTCCTTAGCTATTAATAGGGATCTTCGCTTAACTAGCAATTGTAATATTCCCCTTTATAGGTGTAAAGGTAGAGAAATCCTTAATACTTCTAGATATATAGCAAGAAGCTCCTAAATTAAATAGCTATATAGAAGTGTAGTTTAAAGTTTGTGCTAACGTTAAAATAGTTATATTATTACTTATAGGTACTCTTACACGCTTTCTATATGTGTTTAGAACTAGGGCATTTGCTGCAAAAGCTAAGATTTCCTCTTCTTTGCTTTTATTACTAGTATTCCCTTTATTATTACTAAGCACCACAGTATTATTTATAGTTAAGCTAGCATTGCCTTTAAGACGCTTTCTATTAGGGATAGAAGGGCTAGTATCTAGCCTATTATCCTTAAATAATTTAAGCCTTTAGTATTTAGGGTACAGATATCCTAAGAATAAAAATCTATACTTATGGCACTATGTACATTCCTTGTTATTATTTTTAGCATCTTAAGGTTTAGAAGGGATAGGCTTTGCGAAGCGCAATCGTGTAATAAGGGAGGAGGAGGTAATATTAAGGCTATATTTAGAACCTAAGTTAAGTATTTTAGGTTTAATATTAGTAAATTTTATAATATTCCTAGTACTTAGATTATCTATAATATAGTCTATTGTGTTAGGAAGAGAGATAAGGAAGAAGGAACCCTTAATATTATCTAAATTAAACACTATCCTTATTGCTTTAGCGATAGAGTGTAAGGAATTTGCACATTACTTTTATATTTAGTTCTATAGTTAGTAGAATTTGTTAAGGTAGGCTTAGATATTATTACTATCCTAGTATTAAAGGCCTGCTACCTTTTAGAAGAGGTAGATAGTAGTGTTACTAGTATCTTAATTATACCTTTTATTTAGATACTTCTAAGTAGCTATAGAAGTCTTATAAGAAGTTACACCTAGGGTGTGGTCTATATGCACTAATAAGAGGATTATAACTAAAGCTTTAGTATTATTAGAGTCCTATACGTCCTATAGGTTACCTTTAATTAGTAGTCTCTTTAACTTGCTAGTAATGTAGTTAAAGAGGCCTGTGTATTTAAAGCCTATAGCCTAGGCAGACTTCTATTCTTAGAAGTTATTGCCTTAAGAGTCTAGCTTAGGAAGGCTGCTCTAGTTAAGCTTAAACCTAAAGTTAGAAGTTATAGTAGACTAAGGTAATAGTATAGGAGATAGAGGTATACTAGATAAAGCAGACAATAGTTAGCGTGATGCAGCCCTGTCTAATAGAGCTAGTAGGGACTCTAGGAAAGCTCTATAGATAGAGGCTAGGATATTAGTTATTAGTAGTAATACGCAGAGCTTAATAGGTAGTAATATCGTGTTATATTAGCCTAAAGGAAGTAAGGTATAACGCGTTGTGCAGTAGGGCCACAATAAGGTATAACGCGTTGTGCAGTAGGGCCACAATAAGGTATAGAATGTTTTAAAGTAGAATTTAGTAATATAATAGATAATAGTGTAAGCTAGGCTTATAACCTATAGTTATAGTAATAGAAAAAGTTATTTATTAAGGTAGAGGATTCTCTAGAAGGGAGAATCTGACTATATCACGCCATCACGCTTTCCACGCTAGTCCCAAAACGGGACATAAACAAACCCACCCGTGATTACCACCGGTCGGGCATAGACACTTCCTCCAACAATCACTACACTATGCATTTTACCACAACAACGCGATTCTTCCCTGAACTTTCCCCGCTTCCAGGTCTTTTATCACAGTTGGAAGATCTGGAGGGTTGTCATCCGTAACCATGGGGTTCAAGACACCTTGAGCTATTAATTCCAAGACATCTCTTAGATCTCCGACTTGACCACCATAAGAGAAGATGACGTCTAGTCGTTTGCGTATACACAGCTTCATGTGCACTGTATTTTCATGGTTTAGGGTCCCAACGCAGAGCATACGGCCTGCTTGGCGTACTGTACTTGATCAGCATAATCAATTCACAGTTGGAATTACAAAAGAGTATTTAGGCTTACTGATATGTTGCGCGTCACTGAACGTTTGCGCCGTACCAACAAAGTCGGCAGTTACGCTAACCTTTCCCGTCCAGCCATGCTCCTGAACCCATTCTATGATATTCTTTCCAACAGGGACAACATCTTCGCTCGAAACTCCAATCTTCATGGCTTCGTCGAGGTTCTCTTGCTTCACATCGCTTACGAACACCCTTGCGCCGATCGCCTTGATAATCTGCAACGCATTGAATCCCAGTCCTCCGAGACCGAACAGAAATACAGTATCTTTTGCTGTGATTTGTCCTCTCCTGTGGATAGCGTGGTATGCAGTCGTAACAGCGTCCGTAGCCACAGCGGCCTGACTAGGCGTCACGCCTTGTGGTACATGCACCGCGCCTCGAACATCGATTACACAATACTCTGCAAAGTAGCCATCCATGCCGATACCACTCCGATAACAAGTCACACACAGTTGTGGTAGATTGTTCCCGCATTCTTCACAGTCATCAGATCTGCAACCTGAAATCGCGAGCATCGCAATGACATCGCCGACGGAAAATCCAGAATCGCCGGGCACGGAAGATCCAAGTTCAACAATGCGACCGCACCCTTCATGTCCAAGTGTGAACTTCTCTTTGAACCACGAGGGCTGGTTCTCGTTGATCAGGAGGTTGTGATCAGAGCGGCATACGCCGGTTGCAATGAGTTTGACAAGGAGACCTGTGGAATGGGGCCTTGGGACGGGGACTTCTTCCCAAACCTTCATTCTGTCAGATTGAATGCATAGAAAGTAATTCATGCGCTATCCTAAAGCCACACAGTTGCTTTATTACGCACAAAGCATGAACAGGATATGCACTGACAGGTTCCATATTTCCTCGATGCTTTCTCCACGCCCACATAGTCTTGGGGTGCTCCATTTGGTTTCCAGACATTATATCTGCAATAAGAATGGTTGCCGACTGTGCTTTTGATGGAATGAGTTGTCAAGTTAGAAGATTTGTAAGGCAAGGACCGATGAGATTCTAGAAGCGTACCACGCCTCTGGAGCAATCACAGCCAATAGGAAGAATACATACAGGGTTTCGCCGGCGTATAAATGCGGGGTAGACATAGCGAGTAAACATCCTAAGAGTTGTGCTTCATTTATATGTCTGGACTATGACAGCAAATTGATACGCAACGATTGCTACCTTGTTGATCGCAAACTATGCCGAGTTTCACAATGATGCAAACGCGAACTACATGTACCGACGAGATCAACATACGCGAAAAGCGAATTTGGTATCAGATCTTGACCCTTCAAAGTGTATTTCTGTACGTAGGAAAGGGGTAGACTATAAGCTCTTTACTAGGCGAAAGTCAGTGTAGCCTTTTGCCTTCACGTCGTCACACCTCTGTCGGTACCCTGGTGCTGAACCATTGTACCTTGCAATGCTTCTCTTTTGTTTACCTGCAACATTCCTGTTAACACCTGTCATCCAACTGTCGACCTCATTTATAAGCAGGCCAACGGCACATTCATGCACGTGTTTTGTCCATGCCTTTTTGCCTTCTTCCGTTGCTTCTATGACTATGATGTTGTGGTCGACGGTATACTTGATACAGTCCGCTACCCATCCCACGGCGTACTCTATCGATCGAGGAATATTGCCGAACATTTGATGTGGACCCATGATCACTGGATGATATTAGCCATGTCTCCTCACATTGGAGCATCATCACATTAAACTCACTGAACATATTTGGGAAGCCATGGTTCGTTAATCCCAAGTAGGTCTGGATGCCATTTGCCCATTCATCCGTGAGCGTCTTGCCTCCAATTCCACGGAAGTCAACTTTGCTGAAGGAACCAGTAACAGCATCAAATCCAGTGGCGTATATAATGACATCAAACTCAAAATCTTGCTCCTTTGTCTTGATCCCCTTCTCGTGAATACACTCGATGGGGTTTTCGTTGATGTCGACGAGGGTAACGTTGGGTTGGTTGTACGCCTCATAGTATCCGCCTTCAAGGGGTACTCTCCGAGTGCCAAAGCCGTGATTCTTTGGGATGAGTTTCTCCGCAACGATCGGGTCGTTAACGCGCTGGCGAATTTTGTTGGCGATAAATTTCGAGAACAGCTCATTTGCAGCTTTGTTGGTATTTATATCCCAAAAGTTTCCCAACCACTTTGAAAAGCCAGGTTGGGAGTAAAGCTCCTCCCAATGTCTCTCGCGTTCTTCTTCCTCGACATCGAAAACTGATCTGGTATCGGCCTTGTGAATAAAGCACGAATATGATTCCAGGCACTTTTTGAATATTGTGGGGTAGTTTTTTCTGATTTCCTCCATGTCTTCAGACGATATTTTGGTGTTGCGTAGAGGTGCCGTCCAGTTTGGCGTCCGTTGGAATACCGTCAAGCTTCCAACAGTTTTTTTGATTTCTTGGATTGTCTGAATTGCAGTTGCACCCGTCCCAATAATGCCGACTCGCTTTCCTTTGATGGCATCTTCGCCGTTCTTTGGCCAACGAGACGTGTGGAATCCATCACCTTTAAAATCATTCACTCCCAGAATGTTCGGAAGAGTCGGCTGGTTCAAGATTCCCATAGCGGAGATGATGAACCGCGATGTGTAAGTCTTTCCTGACTCATCTGTAAGCAGCCATGAGCTTGAGTCTTCGCGCCAATGAGCTGAAGAGACCCGTGTGTCGAATTGCATATCTTCATGAAGCCCAAACTTTTTCGCGAAATACTGGCAGTAAGCAAGTGTCTCATTTTGTCCAGCGAAATGTTCAGTCCATTTCCATTCGTCCAGGAGAGACTGATCAAAAGAGAAGATGTAGGAATAAGACTCCGAGTCAAACCGAGCTCCAGGATAAGTATTCCTAGATAGTATGAGCAGACAGCAAAGACAATATGGAAGGTGCAGTTCTTCAAATCTAACATACCAAAACCATGTACCACCTTCACCCGAGCCTGCTTCAAGAAGTCGCACCTTGAGACCGATTTGTCGCATACGGTGTAGTGAGTACATCCCCGACTGGCCAGCACCTATGATGAGGACATCATAATCAAGCGATGCGTCTAACTTCGCCAGCCGCTCCGTCTCGCTTCCGTTCAATGGGCCGACCATGTTTGATGATTCTGCTGATCTTGGTCAAGACAGTGTCGCCGTGGCAGATAGGGGCTGTTCAATAGTCAGACAGTATATCTTCTTTCTACACCCCTGTCCGACAATTCCATCCCAGGTGGGTATTGGGCACCGACCTTCAGGGCCGCCTATCACTTCATCCCTGACCGAATCGGGGCGCTTATGATGCCAAGAAGAACTCCCCACTTTCAGGATCATGCTGTACCGGTAGCGCTACATATCTGTAATTAGGTTTAAGCCAAGCTTGGTAACGGCATTCCCAACAAAGCTAAGTTTGTGGGAGGGACCGGAGTCTATGGCTCCACTGTGTTAATGTGTTAGCACCCAAGTATCGTCTAAATATCTCTCATGTACGATCTGCTAACGGATGATATGTATAGTAGGTACTCCGTAAATGCTGTATATTTTAATTTTAGGTAACCGCCGAACGCACAGACCGTAACCGGTGCTCAAGTCATCCACAATTCACGCCACACAACCTCGATTGCTTATCAAAGTCTGAGACGTAAACCAGTGATCTTGATATAAAATGTAACAAAGTGCATACTTATATACTAAGATGTCATTGATTGATAGTTAAAGGGAGTGCAATGTTGTTTACAAAGACGCGGGGTCCCGGGCGAGGATCTCTAGCCTTTAGAAGGTAGTCGAAGGTGTTCGCCCATGGACCGTGAGTCACTGGGATTGTACGTTTGATAAGCGGCCTTGGAACGGGCCAAGGGCGACCAGAATGAATATAGGTAATAGTAGTTGTGCTTGGAGTGAAACTAAGTAGATTGTGATGCGCAAGGAACGCCTCAAAGAATACCTTGACTCTTCCAATACACTTCTAGATCTCGAAAGAAAGCCCACTTGAGCGATCTTCCCCATTCTCTTTCTTTCCAGTCGTTTAAGGTCTTAGGAAAATGGTCAACACCATCTCGCACAGTCGAATCATGTGCGATGATAACAAAGATTCGCTCATCTGCATCAAGTTCCTGCAGCCAAGTGGCCGTGTTACGAGCAACAGGAATATCATGGCCAAACGTAATGTCATACAAAGAATCGACAGAGCTCCTGGCTCGTGCTCTCTGCAGCTCCGCAAAAGCCGTGCCTGGGCAGAGTGGAAAGGCTGCTTCGGCAATACATGGATGCGGTGATATCGTTTCGGGAACAGGTAGATGTTTTGATGGTCTGAAGATGCCAGCATAGTGGCAGATATCGCCCCCCAGTAGCACAAATGTATCTTCAGACCCCGTAGTCGTTCGAGCCAGTCCGCAAAGATGTCCAATTGCATGACCAGGACTGTCTAGCAGGTAGAAACTGCCATCACCGAAGTAATCAAAAGCAGGAAACTGGCCAATCTTGAGTTCCGTATTGAATGCTACTTCACGAAGCTTCCTATCTTCGTAGTCGCTTTCGCGGATCGGTGAATCTGGATTGGTAGGGTATCCCGGAAGCATTGCATTTTTGAATCCTGGCCCAACTACGAGATCGACACTGTGTGGGAATGATGATGGATCACCAATGTGACTATTGATACGAAATTACTGAAAAGTGGCCAAAAGGAAGGGAGTAATACTCACTCCCAATGCCAATGACTCCATACGATGGCTTCAATTGTGTTCAGATCAATGGAGTGGCTCCTCAGTATATCTACTACATTCTCTGAGACTTGAATATCATATTTGGTCGTTGGCAAATAGCTCGCGATGGGTTCTGAGTAGTTGTGATAATCTTTGCGGATCCCCAGGTCAAAAACCAACTTGCGACCAGATGGATGTTCGATCAAGAAAGAGTGAGATGGGATTGTTGTAAACGTCTCCAGTCCTGGCACTGGTGGGGCCATGAAACGGTGGATCTGTGCAGGACCAAAGTTGACTGGGTTGATAAGATAGGTCTTTACTGTGGTATTGCCCCGAGGCAGCTGAATACCGTTATTTGAATCCATGCTGGGTTGCAGATGAGATGCAGGTTTCGATCCTGGAGACATGTCGTATCGAAAGGTCTGTGTTGCTCAGCCGTTACTTGTTCAGCGTTGTCCACGAGTCGCGTCCCAGTGGATTTGCGTTCTGCAAGTGCGAGCTAGCAAGGGCCCCAACCTCTTCGCCATCCAACACTGACAACTAGTTGGATATCTATATTGTACGTGTAATCCGAAACTCCGCAGAATCCACATCGAAAAAAATCCTCCGGTAACCCTAATATGTCACTGCCTAGTGCAGAGAGAGATCGGTGTATCCCGCGCATGCTGCATGCCATACTGCAAGTCCTTACAGATCCTAGGTATCGTGGTAGATGACGAGAGAATGAATGATCTTAGGAAGGTAGATCATTGGAAGCGTTTCTCCTGATGAACCCAAGCGCGGGTAGAGGGCTACTTTGGGAGTTCCAAGCATGCATCGCTTGCTATGGTTCAGAATAATCGGCCCTTACACTGACCCACATGGCTGTCCTCAAGTTATACCTTGTCATTACGGGTACAGCTACCCGCATTCTCATCCCCATATGACGGTGTCCATCCACAGATTGCCCACCGTCCATTTAGACGCATAACATAGCAAAACTGTGAGCTAAGGATAACTGTACAAAAAGCTGATACTTCTCGATTATTCATTCCTATCATATCACATTTAGGTTCCTGACACCTCCTGGATCTGCCAAGAGTGTGTCAGCCATCATGTTGGAAAACGAAAAGCTTCAGGAGGCCTACCGGGAGTCATCCGCTTCTGATGGTAGCAATGTCAAAGCTAGCCCAGAGCTCACGTCAATTGACACTATTCATGGAGATGAAGCAGCAATGTAACTCGAGTTTGTCGTGTTTTCTAAATCTGCGCTAACAGAGCCCCAGAATTCTTGGAAGCTACACCGGTGAAGAGACCTGGACGGAGCGCGAAGAAACGCAGGTCAGACGCAGGATCGATTGGCGGCTGATGCCAATCCTCTGCGTCACCTATGGATTACAGTATTATGACAAGGCCATGCTCTCACAAGCAGTAGGTTTCGTACTGTACTCAGATTGTGGAGAACTCAGAAAGGTCTGACGAATTACCAGGCCATATTCGGATTGCGCGAAGACCTGCATTTGAAGACCGGCGACCGGTACTCCATGTCCGCAGCTATTTTCTACCTCGGATTCATCGTCGGTGCCTACCCAGCCATGTATCTCGCTCAGAGATTTCCCATTGAACGCGTAGCTTCAGGTATTGTAACAATTTGGGGCATCTGTCTCATCTTGACCGTTGTATGCCGGGATTATAAGGATATCTACGCCCAACGATTTTTCCTGGGGTTTCTAGAATCGGGTATTAGTCCCATGTTCATGGTCATCGTCGGATCATTCTACAAAAAGAACGAACAAGCATTCCGCATGGGGTAAGGATGGCCCATGCCTACGATCAATCAGCACTGGACAGACACTAACAAGTTTTAGTATTTGGTATTCTTGCACAGGTTATGTTTCCATCTTCTCGCCCCTCATCAACTATGGACTTGGCCAAGCCAAAGGCCCCCTTTCACCTTGGAAATACATGTAAGAGTGTGAAGCATACAGCAACGGTATATTTTCTGACAGACAGTTGAGGTACCACTTCGCAGGCGCTCTCACCATCGTTTGGGGTATTGCTCTCTGGTGGTTGCTTCCTCCGGACCCAGTTCGAGCTCGTGGATTTACTGAGCGACAGCGTTATATATCTGTTGCCCGTCTCCGAACCAACAATTCTGGTGTTCGTAACACACATTTCAAGGGCCAACAAGTTCTCGAGCTTCTCATGGACGAGAAGTTTTGGCTGCTGTTTGCGATAGCTTTCCTCTGCATGATTGCCAACGGCCCAATCTCAACCTTTGCGCCAATCATCATTGGGAGCTTTGGGTTCTCCCCTCTCAACTCGTTGCTTCTGGTAATGCCATCGGGTGCATATGCCGGCACAATCCAACTCTTGGTCCCGTACCTCTGCTACAAGTACACCGGTCTACGATCTTACGCAATCTTCATCTGTCAGATGGGCACTACACTAGCAGCGCTCCTACTCTGGCTGTTGCCAAGGAGCTCTAGGGGCGCGTTGCTCTTTGCTGTGTATATTCTACCGTCTGTTGGTGGAGGTTACGCGGTACTGATGGGTCTTGGATTGGCAAACACAGCTGGTTACACAAAGCGAACTGTGATGTCTTCCGGGATATACATTGGTTATTGCCTGGGCAACTTCGTCGGTCCACTGATCTTCAGGCCGCAGGATGCGCCTGGCTATAGGCTCGGCTTCATCGTCACCTCGGTCACGGCCATTGCTGCAGGTCTATTGGCGCTAGTATATCGATTCTGGTGCGTTGCTGTCAACAACAAGAGAGATCGAACTGGGGTACTCGAGGGTTTTGAGCACGCTTATGAGGATGACTCTACTGACCGCAAAAACCCTCAGTTCAGGTACATTTTGTAATGGCAAGGTGGCGGTCAGTAAAATTAGGTACTTATGTGGAGGATTTTCAAATTAACAAAAAGGGAGTTCTTGTTTGGGTGGCTTATATTAGGGTTAGGGTGGCAGTTCTGACTTGTACACGTTGTGGTGTGGTGAACGCATAAGGTTGATGCAGCCTGTCCAATTTCTTCTCAAAGCATACCGGTATTAACTTTTGTAAGTGGCATAAGTGCTCTACCTTTACCCACGAGCTGATAGAGAATTAACCACTTTATTTTGACGCAGAAAAATGCTCAGTGAGTATACTGCCGTTGTCCTCAAACTGGTGGCAACGTAGGCCGTTCCAGTACATGTACGGATATGTAGATGGAGGGTCGTGGCTAAGATCAATTTGGGCGTATGTAAGTGTGGGTCTGTTGGTTTCAGAATGCCAACCTATATGTACATCATGGCCTACGCGAATAAAGTTTCCAAGTGAAAATCCCCGCCATTTGTTCGTTGAAGACTGGTGAATCAGCCAATGCTAGCAGACCTCTATACATGGTAGTTGTGTGCTGTATTGTTGAGACAGCCATCAAACGCACTGAGCGCACAATGTATGCCGATGAGCCTATCGACATCCTATTCGAAGATAACGCGAGTTTCTTATATGATGATGTATGGTATTTGAACGGCGTTACTTTGGCGTTAGCTTCCACAAGCAATCTCGGATCACTGCGGGAACCAACATCCCGGCCCGGTTCCTGGCTTGGGTACACCCAACGAACGCCACATCAACGAAAGCGCCATCATACCATCATCAGGTTTAAAACTCAATACATACACTTTGATGACGCGGTGGGTATCGTGTGGTACTAGGCCAAGAACAGCGACACGTCTTTAGTCCTACACACCACCTTCATTCGCGTCAAGGACGGACTAACACGAATCGCATCAACAGTATGTCAGCAACAGTAGCCCCGGAAAAGTGGCAGCATTACTCAACATCGGCCGCAAAACGGAAGCGAGCAGATGTGGTCTGCTTTGCATGTCATGCGAAGAAGATCAAATGTGACCTCCAACAACAGAGGAATGATGGCAGGGAAGTGTGCAAAAATTGCTTCTCCATGGGACGAGAGTGCCAAATTCGACCATCGAAGCGGGAGAAGAAAAGAAAAGCCGGCAAGGATGATGAGCCTGGCATGTCTCTCGAGCATGAATCACATGCTATGTCGAGCGGTGTGGATGCTCTTCTGGCTGCAGACGCATCAATTCATACTTATACCGGTGATCGCATATCACTCGATACAACCGTTGTAGAGAGTCCGCAACGAACTCGTCACTCAATACCATCTTTACGAGGCGACTACCGGGCGAACACATCTCCAGGTGGTATCTTTGCATCTGGTTCAGGCACTAACGAATCCCCAATGACCCAGAGAGAGCATATGAGCATCAGTCTCACTAACAATACCCCAACGCAAAATGGGGATGTGGATACTGGATTTCTGCAAATCTACGCGCAAGAAAACCAGTGCGATGCCGAAAACCAGGCCATAGTACCTCGTTATACCTCTGATCTCCGTCCCGATTTGGAACAGATTTTCACCGAGACATACTTCGAGTATTGTTACCCTTGGTGTCCCGTGCTTGATCGCAACTCGCTACCATCTGATGTTGCAAGATCGCCTCTACTGGCAAACTCTTTGGCTCTCGCGAGCAGTCACATACAGCCGCCTTTGCTTCCGCACGATGGACCTGAGGCCTACTATAAAAGGGCGAGAACTATCTTCTACGATGATGAAGAGGCAGATGAGATAATGTCACTGAAGGCCCTTTGTCTGTTCTACTGGTGGGCTCCAAAGGCCGCCAATAGACTCCATCGTCACTCGTACGTATTCTCAGTGCACTTAACTATAGTTCAAGATTGTTGCTAACTTTTTCTCGTAGATCCTGGTGGTGGACTTCAGTCATCATTAAACACGCTCAACAAATGCATATTCACCGAGAGCCTAGTGCAGACCACCCCAATAGAGACCGTCTTCAGCTTGGTTTGCGACGACGTATCTGGTGGACCGTCTTTGTAAGTGTCCTGACCCGAATATTTTGTCTAAACTCAGTCAAATCCATATTATCTGGAGCCTACAAACAGTTCACTTGTGACTCTCACGCTCATAAATTCGATCGTCTGACGAACTCTAGGCTCGTGAACGTCTCACCTCTCTTTGTCAGAGCAAGCCTGTAATTATCGATCCTGCCGACTGTAATATACAAGAACCGTCGCTGGCCGACTTCCCACCAGATCCGCAGAGCCAACACCAAGGAGAGATTTTCATCTACTGGGTTCGTCTTTGCGCTATCATAGGCCGTATCGCGAAATCCCTTCTCACACATAATGCGAATTCTCAAGCGCTCCAAAACGCATTGCGAGACGAATTAGTAGAGTGGGTGCAATCTTTGCCAGCCCGCCTGAAGTTGCCCATCGACACAGCTCGCACTGAGAACTTCGACCGCGATGTTCACCAACTTCATCTATTTTATCTAACGACAATCATCATTTTGCATCTCAAGCGCTCCGGTGGCCAGTTGCCGCAAGCATTGCCACCTGCTATCATTGCAGCGTCTTGCACGGCCCGAATTCTGCGAGACATTCTCGCACGTGGCAACTCTCGATTCTTGATGGCCATCACATGTTGGCATGTAGGCACTGCCTTCATTGCTCTTCTACAAGCCTCACGAATACCGCATCTGAGCAAATCCGCCAACGAAGACCTCGATGTTTTAACAATTACTATCAAGGAGCTGCAAAAGATGTGGGCCTCCGCCCTTGTCGTGGCGCAAGGCCTCAAAAGGCTGCGCAACGCTCAACCTGCTGCTAACTTCGGATCACACCACGCCCATTCTGCAGACAAGCTCAACAATTTGAACGGCAACTTTGTACAGTCTCCAGAGATAAGCAATCTTGCCAACGGCACCAATACGCACTTCGATGATGAGTTCGACTGGATGCGTTTTTTTCCCTTCGTTTCCAAATCGACCGGCGGTATCGCCGACAGTCTTCTCTCCAGGCGTGAGCTCGGTACAGCAAGCCGTGACTTCCCCTCACCCAACAACGAATTGTTTCATGGTAATCTTCTTGCGCAATACCAGGATCTTTTCAATCCTTTCACCGACTATACATTTAATTTTTCGGACATGATCTTCAGTACATCATAGCTTACGAGGCAACGATTTCATCACTCAACCGAAATGATGAGTTGCTGAAAATGTGTGCGAAACAAGCTGCCGTATGATGACCTAATTTGTAAGTCCAATGATCGCCAATAGAAAATATCATAAGAAAACAATTTCACTCATTACTTTCCCTCTGCAGCTCCGTCCAAAGCGCAATGATGTTGCGGTCCCTTACCCTGAGCCTCCTCTGCGATCTCAACGTACCAGGAAAGATCAACATCGTCCTTCATTTCAAAAGCCGTGAAACCGTTACCCATGAATCTCCAAGGATTTGATGTCTTATATGTGATATCAAAGTCCTCGCCTCGAATGTCGCCCAATATCCTATTGAAAAGCTGCGCCGAGCCACCGAAAAGCGCGGTTACTCTCCCATCAACTCGCCCGCGCTTGTACCATGAGGAGCACCCACCCGACCACACTAAAGTCTTGTGGACTTCATCTTGATAGCGGATGAAGGCGTTGACCTTTTCTCGCTTGGGCGTGATATATTTGATATCCTCGTGTGCCATCTTTTTGATCCATTTTACAAAGTAGTCGCCGGTCCAGTTCAACGACTCCACAAGTGAGCCGTGCCCACCAAGACAGTTGGGACCCATCATCTTGTTCCCATATTAGTCTTTGATGAATCGAATGGGGTTACGAGAACAGGCTACATACCATGAAGTAGTTGGGAAAGTCAGGTGTCATGACCGACAAGTACGAATCCGGATCCTCCGCCCACTTCTCGCGCAAATCAATGTTGTTCTGGCCGATTATGGGATACCGCGGACAATGTGATACATCAAAGCCAGTTGCACAGATTACTACAAGGAGGTTAGTACGCGACCTTAAAGGGCAATGTAGAAGATTGTACTCACTGACGTCGCACTCAAAAGTCTTTCCATCAGCAGTTTGCACACCCTTCTCGGTGATACCTGCGATTGGGCTATTGGTACAATCACAATTATCTTTCGAGAAGGATTCAAGATAGCCTGGGCCGGGAGTGATTCTTCGGCAGCCTAGCTCCCACTTTGGAATCAGCATGTCGCATAGTCGCTTATCATGGCCTAGCTTTTCCGCCATCTGCGCGCTCGCTGCCTCCATTCCCTTCTTGTTGTTTTCGCCGCGCATAAAGATGTAGAAGGATTTGTTGGTCCGCGAAACAATGCCTTTTCGGTATGCTTGGTGGAATGCTGGATCTTGGAACCGTTCTTTTTCAGCCTCTGTATACTCGGGATTTGGGTCGTCAACCTCGCGACCCATGTGCTTCGAGGGTGGCGCACGATAGTATACCCATGCTCCGCTTCTAATGAAGTTCTGTACGGTAGTGCCAGGTAATTTGGCCATTTGCGGAACGATCTGGATTCCTGAAGAGCCGTTGCCAATGACTGCTATTCGCTTGTTGGAGTAATCGTAGTCATGATCCCACCGTGCGGTGTGTGTAACGTGCCCCTTGAACTTGTCGAAACCGGGTATTTTGGGCCAATTTTCATGTCTTCATCCGCTGCTATTAGTCATTGTCATATCAAATAGCGAGTTTGACTTACACAAGCACACCTTGCCCTGAAATGAGAACATGACACCACTCTTCTCTTCGCTCTTTACTCTTGGTGCTCTCAAGCTCTACGCACCACATTCCTTCTGATTCCTGCCATTTAGCGCCAATTACTTTGGTGTTTAATTGTAGATCGCGATCCAGGTTCCATTTCCGTACAGTCGCCTTGAAGTATTCTAAGATTTCAGCTCCACTCGCATAAAACCTCGTCCAGTTCGGATTCGGGTCAAATGGGAACGCGTAGATATGTGCGGGTACATCGCATTGAACACCAGGGTAGTTGTTGATAAGCCTATATAAAATTAACACGATTGTTCATTTTAGGACCCTAGGGCTGACTGTGTCGCTTACCAGGTACCCCCAACTTCGTGGTGTGCCTCGAATATTGTGTGATCTATATATTCTCGCATTTCCAGGAATCGGTGTTGGAACTTGTGTGCCATTAAGAGTCCCGAAAACCCTGCACCAATTGTAAAGACTTTTAGCTTTCGTGGTGTGTATGCATATTCTGAGGCGAGTTTGAAGGGATCTGAGTCGGCATTCTGACGTCCTTTGATTACATCACTCTCATACACACCGTTCATGTGAACAGCGTTTGCGTGAATATCATCGGCTGCATTTTTCGATTCTTGAATTCCTTTGACCTTTGGGATCTCGCTGTCCCTTGTTGGTGCTTCCAAAGTCACTGATGCGTGCTTCAACTCGGACCTGGAAGCGAAAGCAGGAGTCGCCAAGTGAAGAAGGGTAGTCATCATGAACGACCGCTTACTGACTGGAAGGTGATCGATGCTGTCAAAGAAAGCGACGAGAGGGATTAAGGGGACGAAGCCCAGACACTTGGAACTCCCAGTACATAAGCTACAACCAACGAAACAACGTTGAACAGATGGTACCTACCGGAGTCCAAAGTTGAGAAACCGGCGTATGTTCCAAGAAATCATCAAAGACGAATCAGCTGCCTGCCGAGATGGACTACGTTACCGCCTGAGCAGCGATCACCTCCCAGGGAAGCCCGAACACGGGTCAACGACCTCGGATATCCACTTCTGCACTTACTCAAAAGGAGTGTGCCTCGAATTTTCGGGAGTGAGAATGTAAATAGAGCCAAGGTAGCGCCACTACGGCACTGCCTACTTAGGATTACCGTACCTACCGTACGTTCCGCAAGCACGCGATCAGACCAAGCACGGAACCTGACAGCCGCACTTCCACCCCACCCATCGTGCAGACGATATGGAGGACGGAAGAGCGGTTAGAGAGTCTCCCAAGGTACTATAGTCGTGACTGATGTTATTATGATGTGCGTATTGACTCTCGACACTGTTCCCGATCGGCACAAGTGGTGGTATTCACTTTTCCTGCACCACAACCTACCTAATTACTCTTTTGCATCATTACTGGTTTCTCGAAAGCAATAGAAGATGCCTATCCCACGGTACGAGTATAACGGCCCAATCGATCACACAATACCGATTGATTATGCTCAACTCAAAGGCAAATCTGTGATCATCACTGGTGGTGCCAACGGCATGGGGGAAACTTGCGTTCGCAGGTTTGCAGAATCAGGCGCATATGTAACCATTGCAGATTTGAATAAATGCGGTTATGAGCTATCGTCTGAACTCAATCAGAAGTATGGTGACGAACGGACTACGTTTGTCCGAGTCGACATCCGGGACTGGGATCAACAAAAAAACATGTTCGAGGCTGCCATGGGCAAGTTCGGCGCTGTGGATATTGTCATTGCGAACGCTGGTATCAGTAGGAGCTCGGGAGATAGTCTTTGGGCTTTGGATGATCCAAATGGCGACCCAACCAAGCCGGATCTGAACATTGTAGAAGTCAATCTGAGGGGCAGCTTCTACACATGGAAGCTTGCCGTTCATTACTGGCGAAAACAGCAAGAGAGTGAGGATAGGGACCGATGCTTTATTATTACCGGAAGTATGGTCGCCTGGATTGATTCACCGGTACGTGCACTTCACGGTACCAAGTCCCGCTTGCTGATACAGGCAAGGGGAACTGGGAGTACACGGCCACGAAGCATGGTCTGTATGGCTTCATGCGCACAGCCCGTCGATCCACGTGGGAGCAAGGCATCCGCATCAACTATGTTGCACCGTCTTGGATCAAGAGCGCGATTCGGACAAAGGAATATGAGCAGTGGCTTATCGACCGTGGTATCGAATTCGGGGAGCAGGACGATGTTGCGAGTTGTATGATGAAGATTGCAAGCGACAAGTCGATTAATGGTTTGTTCTTTCAGCGATTTTTCGAGCCAATTTGCTGTACTGACGGGACTGGGTAGGTAAGAGTCTGGCTATTGTACCCAGAACGATTGCAAAGGAAGGGTTCAAGGACATTGACAAAGATGATTACACGGAGGACGATGGCCATGACGGGTACTTCAAGCGCACTCAGGATACACAGCTAGTAATCATCGAAGACAAGTGGAAGGAAGATTACAAAGTCGGAGCGTACAAGATTTAGGTTTCCTGTCTTCACTCCTTCGCCTCTAAACGCGGTGGACGGAGGGAACGAGAAGTTGGAAGTTGGCCTTGCAGAACATGATTGCACATGGATTTTCAGTGTAACCCACGAATAAGTTACACAAGATAGAGGTGGAATCTCATAGACAGCACAACATCATCGAATTCTAACAATCCGCTGCCTCGGTATCTACCGGTCCATGGTGGGGTTGTACGCTAGCCAGGGGAGGGGAAATGGCCTTAAATCCGAGACAATTACCCACATCACTAGGTAGCTTTGCGTTCTCTACCTCTTCTTGGAGGTAACTTTGGACATTGTTTCTTGTTATCGAAAGAGTCCTCATTCGTGGAAAACCACTCGCTGTAGAGCGGCATGTCTTTGTTGGACTTTTCACCATACGGTGGGCCCTCGGAGGAGTGGCTTGCCGTCGAGAAGACGCTCCCTGCGACTAGATTTGACACGTCCATCGATCCTGTCGTGCTGAGAGAAACGGTCAACAAAGAAAGGGAGGAAAGGGCTGCAGGGGCTATGAAGCTGTTGGCAGCTCAGGTCCATGTGAAGGATTACAAAATCCCGACTCGTGATGGGTCTTCAATCGAAGCTCGGACCTACCGGTCCGTGAAGAAAGACGGCTCTGAGAAGCTTCCGGTGTATTTGTACTTCCACGGGGGAGGCTTCATCTTCGGCACCCTTGGCAGCGAGGACCCACTGTGTGCGCAGACTGCCATCAATACCGGGGTGGTGGTACTGAACGTCAACTATCGGCACACGCCCGAACACGTCTTCCCCACTGCGCATCTCGATACACATGATGCATTTGTATGGCTACACAAGAATATCGATACCATCGGCGGCGACCCTTTGAGGGTTGTGGTTGGTGGTATCTCCGCAGGTGGCCAGTTAGCAGCTTCCCTCACCCTTGAGCAGCATCTCGGTGTAGCTGAAGAACTGAAGGGCCTGCCAACGGTTGCTGGTCAGATTCTTGTGATTCCATGTCTCGCCTTTCCGAACACATACGACCAAGGACCCGGAAAGAAGTTGAAGTCGTCGTCTTATGTGGAGAATGAGCATGCTCCCCTGCTGCCGAAGAAGATTGTTGAGTTTTTCACAGATCTGCAAAAGATCGGGATGCCGGACTTGAAAGACACAAAGGTCAATATTGTCAACGCGACGGAGGAGGAGGTCAAAGGTCTGCCGCCCACAGTCATTGGAGTGGCTGGTCTTGACCCGCTACGCGACGAGGCACTGCTTTACGCGAAGCTGCTCTCAGAGGCGAATGTCCCGACAGAAACTCGATTGTTCAGGGGCGTGCCACATGGACACAGGCGGTTTGGCAAGGAGTTGAAGGCGTCGGAGCATTGGGACCAGTGCGTGGAGGAAGGTATACTGTGGGTCCTGTCAAAGCCGGAAGCGACTGGAAAGTTTGAAGTCAAACTGCCTTGAGCCTTGTCCAGTTCACTGTAGAAGACTAGAAGGTAGTAGCATGGTGAAGGCGTAGTCTGCCTGCATGCACGAATGTAAGAGTGCCCTGCTGGCTTGACTCATCTTAGATGGAGACGACTGTAGAGTAGACATTTCCTTGTCAAACACGAGCAGACGATTGGCTTGAATGGGTGGGATTGGTTGATACATGTCGTGTTTAGTGTTTATAGAGTACGTCCCATGGACCATAGCTACCTTGAAACGGCCAGTTAGCGTGTTGTTTAAAGTTTTGTTAAGCGAGCGAGTCCCCCTGTCTGCATCATCATCATCACCATCATCCCGCGGACATGGCCGAGCTTCAGGTACACAGCACACAGGACGACAGCAGCATCAACATCAACAGACTCCAAAAGTGAGCCCGCGACAGCCAAGCCACCAGCCCCCCCCCCCCCCCCCCTGCCGCCCTGTCCCTCCACCCCGCCCGCCACCTCCGCTATGCTCTCCGGCATCCTCATCTTCAACCAAAAGGGCGAGAACCTCATCTTTCGCGCCTTCCGCAACGACTGTCGCCCGCGCCTCGCCGACGTCTTCCGCATCCAAGTCATCTCCAACGCCCAGGTACGGTCGCCCATCCTCACCCTCGGCTCAACCACCTTTAGCCATGTCAAGCATGAGAACATCTATCTGGTCGCGGTGACCAAGAGCAATGCGAATGCGGCCCTCGTCTTTGAATTCCTATACCGGCTCGTGGGTCTGGGGAAAGCCTACTTTGGCAAGTTCGATGAGGAGGCGGTCAAGAATAACTTTGTGCTTGTGTACGAGCTGCTGGATGAGATCCTGGACTTTGGATATCCCCAGAACACCGAGACAGACACATTGAAGATGTACATCACAACAGAAGGTGTCAAGTCGGAAAGGGCTCTGGTAAGACTCTTGTCCCAAAACCATGTGGAGAACTCAGATGGGAACCTGAAAGGCTGACCCCTGTGTAGGAAGACTCTTCCAAAATCACAATGCAAGCGACGGGTGCACTATCTTGGCGGCGAGCCGACATCAAATACCGCAAGAACGAGGCGTTTGTGGATGTCATCGAAGACGTGAACCTGCTCATGTCTGCAACGGGCACAGTCCTACGGGCCGATGTCAACGGGCAGATCATTATGCGCGCATATCTGTCAGGGACGCCAGAGTGCAAGTTTGGGCTGAACGACCGACTCACGCTGGGCGAGGACCACCTCCAACAGCCTTCTGGCAACAAGGCAGGCGCAAAAGCAACAAGGGCAGCAGCAGGCAGTGTCACCCTCGAGGATTGTCAATTCCACCAGTGCGTCAAATTGGGCAAGTTTGACGCCGACCGAATCATCTCCTTCGTTCCACCAGATGGTGAATTCGAGCTGATGCGCTACCGAGCAACCGAGAACGTCAACCTACCTTTCAAGGTACATGCCATTGTGAATGAGGTTGGTAAGACAAAGGTCGAATACAGCATAGCTATTCGTGCCAATTATGGTTCCAAACTCTTTGCCACCAATGTTGTCGTGCGGATACCAACACCCCTCAACACTGCCAAGATTACCGAGCGAACATCGCAAGGAAAGGCAAAGTACGAGCCCGAGCACAACAACATTGTCTGGAAGATACCGCGATTCACAGGTCAAAGCGAGTTTGTCTTGAGCGCCGAGGCCAGCTTAACGAGCATGACCAATCAGAAGGCATGGTCAAGACCGCCCTTGAACCTGAGCTTCTCGTTGTTGATGTTTACAAGCTCCGGCTTACTTGTGCGCTACCTCAAGGTATTCGAGAAGAGCAATTATAGCAGCGTCAAGTGGGTGCGGTACATGACGAGAGCGGGCAACTATGAGATAAGGTATGCAGCTTCATACACAAGCGTGTGTGAGTGTTCTTGGCTAACATGAATAGATTTTGAGTGTATATACCATTTGCAATTACGGCACTTATTATGGGCAACAATGCATTGCAGGCGTTTTGGAGCAGCCTCCAAAGATATCCAACTTTGACATCGTAAATACATGGGCAGATGAGAGAGACAGCATAGACTACATTCATCTAGCGAGTCACGGTAGCACACGTTGTTTCGATCGACTAACATGTTCCCAACTCTCCTAATGTCGGCTAATCTTCCGCGACCTATTTTTCTCGCTTCAGCGTAGCACACAGTACAAGGTCATACAAAGGGTCCGGCAGTTTGTACTGCTGATCAATGTATCACATTGTCTAGTCACCTTGACCCCACTCAGACCGGGAGCTGCCCTCACATCGAGGATATGCCTTCGTCCACGATATTATTGGCGTCGAACATTGCCGAGTCGTCATATTAATAGCATTCCCAGGCATAGTCACAACGTCGACTTCCATCGGCGCACTTCCACACCACGGGAAGTCAGAATATCCGGTCAACGACAAAATTAAACAAGTCACCAGTGCGAGTTTCACAAGCTGTACAGTCACCTCGTAGTTCTACGTTTTGAGTGTGAGTGGTGTATAAAGCTGCCAATCTTTCGAGTTCTTCCAGCCATCACCCTCCACACTATCACTTCATAATCACAACTTTCACGCACCAAACTTCTTTCCCGTCCTCCATTTTCACCGTTTCCGCTTCCATGGCTATCAGCAACACGTCCCTTAACGTCGACAGCTATGAATCCGATGCCAAGTCCGTCAGTACTGTGTGGGAGGAGGATTTACTGGAGGCAGTGGGTACAACTGCGGAAGGATACGCAGAAGACCTACGCATCAAGCGCGAATACTGGGATCGGAAAAACGAGCCCTTTTTCACAGTCTGGAGGGCCATGATTGAAAGCACGTCGGAATCTCGCAAGGCCGACAACATGCTGAACAAAGAGCATCAAGCGCAAAACGCCGCGTTGAAGAAGCTATGGGACCAGTGCATTCAATGCCTCGAAGCATTTCCAAAAGAACAGCAAATTCTCCAAGCACTAGCAACAGACCACGGCTACCCCTGGAAGAACAGACTCGACAAGCCGGGTGGCACCGAGTGGGCTGTTGTGCTCACCTACATCATCATGCAACAGCGAGGCCGTTTCAAAGCCGAGCTCACTGGCTCCTATTGGCACGAGGGTAAGAAGCAAGACAGTTTTTACGATGAGGTCAGGTCTTTGCTCAGCGAGCGGATTTACGATTGTGAGGACTGGGGGTCTGAGGCTGAGGATGTGTTTCTTGAAGCGCGGGAAAGGTGCGATGGAGATGAGGGGGATGAGGATGAGGATGAGACGGGTGGGGAGGCGGTGTAGTGTAGTGCAGTGTAGCTCTTCCCGAAAAACTCACAATATACTCGTTGCTTGATAATAGGTACATGAATCCCATCACAAAAAACCGATCCCCCCTTGAAACAAGCTCTTTGAACCCCACTGCCTCCCGCCATGCAACCACGCTCCACGTGGATTTACATCTTCTTTTTGATCTATCTCCCCGGTGCGGGAACCGTCTCAGCAGTAAGTTTGACATCTCTCTCTATCCTTTTGTATTTGATGAGTATGACGTATGAGATGTATTTTGTGGTTATCAACGTAGTCAATGGTTATAGGTGTAGGAAGGTGCTGTAGATAAACTAGAAAGGATGATCCCCCATGAAATACATGGGTACCCCGAGGAGCGAATGGCGAGATGGAGAGGTGCATGAACGTCTGTGGAAAGGGGGAGGGGTAGTAGAGTGGACAATGTACGGTTTGTGGTTTTGCAAAATGCAGTTTGAGTGGCGGTGCTGGAGATGAAGTCTGAAATCGAAATTTAAACCTTACAACATGATACAGACATTTCGGACATGTCGACATATATACATTCCTTCCCTTGCTACCAGTAATCTAATATAGCACACCCTTTGTACTCCGAACCTCACCCTCCCATTGCTTGACCACAGTAGTAGCATGTCTTATCGCCACCGCAAGCGCCTTGAACGCACTCTCCGCCCTATGATGATCATTGTCTCCCCTCAAACAGTCGACATGCAGTGTCGTCCCGCTCGCCTGGGCAAAGCTCTGTAAACAATGCGGAATCATCTCGCAACTCAAGTCTCCAATCTTCTCCCTCTTGAGTCCCAAATCGATGACGCTGTACGGTCGGTTGGACAAGTCGATGACGGCCCGGGACAAGGCCTCGTCGAGGGGCGCGTATGCGTGTCCGAATCTCGCCAGGCCAGTCGAGCCCTGCAGCGCGTTCTTGAAGGCCGTTCCGAGTGCGAGGCACGCATCTTCACTTGTGTGGTGGTCGTCAATGTGGAGATCGCCTTTACATCTGATTCGTAGACTCCAGCCTGCGTGTTTGGCGAGGGCGTGGATCATGTGGTCGAGGAAGCCGATGCCCGTGTCGACGGAGATTTCCTGGCTGTTTGACTTTTGCGTGGCATGGTCTTTGTCGATCTTCTCGCCCTCGCCGTTGAGGTTTTGCTTGTCGAGGGCAGCCCAGAAGTCGGAGTGTTCGTAGGCGAGGAGATCGCCGCCGTCGAGGTTGAGGGAGACTTGGATCTTGGTCTCGTTGGTGTCGCGGTTCAAGGTGCAGGTCCGTGGCATTGTGGCGGATGCAAACTTTTTCCTCTTGTGATATTGATTGTGGGCCTGAGGTATGAGGTGGAAGAGAAGTAATCTAGTCCGTGAGAGGCTTCAATGGGTATGTAAGATGGGAAGGGTATGGGTCAAGACAAAAATGTTTGGAAGATGCGCCATCTGAGGGGCTGACTGGTTACTGTTAGACCATGTTCCCCCCCACGCCCCACACCGCTGCGCCAAGAGATACAAGGCTGAGCCTTAGCTGGCCAACCATCGCTTCCCCGAAACTAAACCCTGCGCCGCCAAAATTTTGATATCGCCAAAGTCACACGTCGACAACCCGAGATACAGCCCACTCAAAGACAACGTCTTCCAGAAGGGCCCATTTGTCCGCAGAGGAAGAGCAAGGAAAGAGTCAAAATGCCAGGAACGACGTCAGAGTCAACCGAAGTACCGATCTTAGATCCTACATCCTCGTCAAACGAAGAGATTGATCCATCCGTCGATCGTGATCGAATTCGCGTTGTATGTGAAGGCCTTGTAGCATCTGGAGTGGTAAGAGAACTGACATGATCCAGTTGTCTGGCGCCACAGAGTCTGCAGCATCATTCCAATTTGATGGAGAAGATCATACGCTAGGAAATGCACTGAGGTATATCATCATGAAGAAGTAAGTCGTAAGAAGATGGTGTTCCAGAAGCTAAGCGCTTTTCATATCCGATACATTTGTTTCGCAAGATAGGGCCGTCGCTGACTTTACACCTAGCCCTGATGTTGAATTTTGTGGTTACTCCATTCCTCATCCGTCAGAGGCCAAGATGAATCTGCGCATACAAACATACGGTAATACCTCGTCTTCTCCAAACCACACCATCTAAAAACTGACATTCTTAGACAACGTCAGCGTCTACGCTGTACTAGAGAAAGGGTTGGATGATCTCATGGCCATGTGCGATGTCGTGGAGAAGAAGTTCATCATTGCCCGTGACGAGTTTGTGAACAAGATGGAAACCTGAGTGTTTGGGGGAGTCTTGTCCAATTGTCCAAGCAAGTGCATTGCAGGCGTTCACGGGAGCATGATCTTTTGGCGCATAAACGAAGAAAATGGTATTGTCTCGAGCTATATACACGCTTTCGGTGGTTCTCTGCATTTCCCACTCTAGTCCTGATGACCATATCAATTGCGGCCCTAGGCTTGCATGTTAATTCCATGTCCATTTCTCTACAAGTCCATGCTTGCTTGCAAGGATGAAAACCTACCTCCAAGAAGCCGTGGATGAAGTTGTTCGGTAGCCTTGCCTTGGGCTCCTCTTCGGCACGGAAGTACTTGAGCACATGTGACAGTTGCTTCCAGAAGTTGAGTGTTTCCTGTACCCAATACTTTAGCACTGAACAGGATGCGTATAGCTAGTTGGGCAGTATGGCTCACCTGGTATTCCTGGTGACTGTTGAACAAGAGCACGTCCACGGTCTGTATTTGATTCACATATCGATGCCGCTCGAATTCCTGTCGCATCTTTGTCCGGAGAGTGGAAATGGGCATGTTGAGCGAGTACATGGTCTGAATCTCGGGAGCCTGTAGTGTCGCTGTCAGCCTCAGTCTTCCCTGCTGGCACGCACTCCCTGGCCGCCCGCGCGCCTGCCCTGTTGCCATAGCCTCTTGTCCTTCCAAGTCCCTGTATATCCAGCTCATGCGTGACAAGCGTGCATAGAGTGCAGAATCGAAATAAGGAGTAACGCACCGACCGTAGCCAGTCCCGGTAGCTGTGAAGGACCCTCTTCTTCGCATCGGCCCAGTTGATCGCTGTGAGCTCATTAGTTGGTTGTTTGGCCCCATGTTTGGCAGAAGTGTAGGACGAACATGAGCGCGTGCGCTGGGCGAGATAGGTGGGGTTGATGGTCATGTTTTGTGTACCGTTGTTCCGTTCTGGAGCTCGAGACAATCTAAAGCCTTGGACATGGGGTGACGATGCGGATGCGGCTCGTGGTGGAGGGCTCGCGCCAAGACTAATCCACCTTTAGCGCAAGAATTTGGGGTACGGTTCCTAGGATCCATCCATTCACTCGCGAACTTGCGACGAGCTTCACTTGCGTCACCTACACTCGAATCCTCGGTAACTTGGCCTCGATATTCGCCACAACACCGCATAACGGCGACTTCGCAGCTGTTCTGGTCATCAGAAGATCACTACTACAGCCGCACCCATGCCACCAGTCCGCACGGCACGCGCCTCGAAGAAGGCTCCACCGGAGGGCTTTGAGGACATCGAAGACACGCTGCTCGAATTCCAGAACAAGATGAAGGACGCTGAGAATGCATCCCACGAAGGAAAGAAGAAGTACGAGATGACGTGGCCCATCTTCCAGATCACACATCAGCGTTCGCGATACATCTACGACTTGTACTATGAGAAGGAAGCCATCAGCAAGCAGCTCTACGACTATCTCCTCAAGAATGGATACGCAGATGCTATGCTGATTGCCAAGTGGAAAAAGCAAGGTTATGAGAAGGTGAGCGGAGTCACCTCTAGTTTGCCACTTTGTTCAGTGCTAACAGGCCACAGCTTTGCTGCACCCGCTGTATTCAGACCAAGGAGACCAACTTCCGATCTACGTGTATCTGTCGTGTTCCCCGTGAGCAGATGAAGGAAAATCAGGATATACAATGCGTCAACTGCGGCTGCAGAGGATGTGCTTCGAGCGACTGAGTCATGACGGCGACGACTAGGAGCTAAACTATAGCAGTCAACCGCCATCCATCACACAGAGGACGCGTAGTCATATAAAACCTCGTGACTGTAGCCCTTATGATGCTGGAGCAATTACTATATACCCGGAGTAACGAATTGCTGGCAAACAGTCGAGTGCGCCCTTTTGGCGGGCATGACTTTAGGAGTCCAGAAATGTTTGCGGGACAGATCCCGCTGTAGGGTGTGTCAATTTGGCCATTATATTGAATACAATTGTTAACAAGCTTACAGAAACCTGTCTGCAATGATTGTGCATACAACATGAAACGCTAACGCATCAAGGGTATTGCGACATGCTTCGCATGCTGTGATGTGGCCTATGAAAGTAGATGGTGGCACAAGTCTTCGCCTCAGGGCCTGCAAAAAGCTGGCTCTCACCTCTCACTATGGGGTTAGAAGTAATCAACTTGCACTGACACTGGCGACGCTGCGGAGATTGATCGATTTCGAGTACTGATGAGGGGAAAGCCGACGCTGTTCGCTTGAGGGGATGTGCGACAAATGGCAGTATTGACGCGGTATGGGCTATGGGCAGACGGCAGAATAATGGAATGAGAGAAAGTTGATGTGCAGATGCATGCACGTGGTTTATTTTATTTGATTGGATACTTGGTATCCAGCCTTGATTGTCATACCAAAAATGTAACAGGATACTAACATGTACGCATATGAAGTTTGTGCAATTTTCCGAAGAGGCCTTGACGGTATGGTTGTTATGCTGCAAGGCACCTAGCGGGGCTTACGTCGCTTTTAGACACGGCCGGTTGGGCAGGGATGCTGTCGTTAGGCGGTTTGGCTGTTGTTTATCGTCAGACTGGGGAAGCGATAACGGCGACTACATCCTTCAACCTTTTCTTGGACGAGGGGAAGATCTTCACACAAAACGCCATCCAAAGGGCGTGAGTGTGAGTCAATTGAGTCAGGAGTCTCCAGGCCAGTAGCAAAGACTGTCTAGGTAAGTCGAAAACGTTGGAATTGAGTAGTCAGTTGCCTTTGGACTTTATTTGGTTCAAAGGAGCTTCTGCGTCATCTTCATGAGCTGCAACCTCAGTTCCAACATCTCTGTGTGACAATACTGACACGCGCTCGCAGTGTACCCAAGCACTCGAGCCGAGCCGTCTCCAGGCGCCAACATGGCTCTCACTCGTCCCAATCCCCGCTTCCTCAACCGCACAAGCCGCATCTTCTCATCGCAAATCCGATGCTACGCTGCGCCAGGTGAAGGCACCATCCCACCAGCAAAAAAAAAATATGTGCCTACGACTGGCACCTACCCGCTCGGCTTCAAAGCAGGTAGCACGCATGTCGGCGTGAAAGCGTCCAACACGCGCTTCGACGACCTCGCCCTCATCGCCTCGGACATGGAATGTTGCGCCGCCGCCGTCTTCACGACAAACAAGTTCCAGGCTGCACCTGTGACGGTCAGCAGGGACTTGTTGGATCAAAAACAGGGCCAAGATATCCGCGCCGTCATCATCAACTCGGGGTGTGCGAATGCAGTGACGGGCAAGGGAGGCGTCGCCGATGCAATCACCATGGGTCGAGAGACGGACAAGTGCTTCACCAGCAATGGATCCAACGACGGCCAGAAAGATCAAAATTCTTCCACCATTGTCATGAGCACCGGAGTCATCGGTCAACGGCTTCCCATTGACAAAATCACCTCCAAGATCCCCACCGCATACACCAACCTCGGAAGCACACACGAGCACTGGCTCAGCACCGCCCGCGCAATCTGCACCACAGACACCTTCCCCAAACTACTCTCCCGTACCTTCACCCTACCCGGCCACAAAGAGGAGTACCGCATCGCAGGCATGACCAAAGGCGCCGGCATGATCCACCCCAACATGGCCACCCTCCTCGGCGTCATGTGCACCGACGCCCCCATTGCCGCATCCCCCCTCCGCCACGCCCTCCAAGCCGCCGTCAGCAAATCCTTCAACAGCATCTCCATCGACGGCGACACCTCCACCAACGACACCGTCGCCATCCTCGCCAACGGCGCCGCCGGCGGCCCCCCCATCACCCAACCCACATCCCCCCAATCCACAGCCTTCACCAACATGCTCACCACCTTTGCCATCGACCTCGCCCAACTCGTTGTCCGCGACGGCGAAGGCGCCACAAAATTCGTCACCATCCACGTCACAGCCGCACAATCCTACGCCCACGCCCACCGCATCGCCTCGACCATTGCACGCTCCCCACTCGTCAAAACCGCACTCTACGGCAAAGACGCAAACTGGGGCCGCATCCTCTGCGCAACGGGCTACGCAGACGGCGTGGATTCAATCATTCCCGCCGAAACGAGCGTCAGCTTTGTGCCCGTCGACGGCAGTCCCGCCCTCGATCTCCTCGTGCGCGGCGAGCCTGAAGTCGTGGACGAGGCGCGCGCCGCTGCTATCCTCGAGGCCGAGGATTTGCATATCCGGGTTCGGCTGAGTGAGGGCCGCGAGGGGTATACGCATGAGGCGCGGTTTTGGACGTGTGATTTTTCTCACGAGTATGTTACTATTAATGGGGACTATCGGACTTGATGGGACTTGGGAGTGGAGAAGGGGTGGGGATGGGACTTGAGAGTCAAAGGGGGAAAAAAAAAGGGGGGGGGGGATAAGGGGGGTTATGCTTGGATGTGAGAAATGAGAAATCATCTCGTGTGCGCAGGGGATCCAAATATCAATGTATCCAAATCTTTCAAATGTCAAGTCGTTGTAATGACACATGGTGTTTCGAAAAGCGAAAAGGAGTCTGAAGGCCCTGGACAGCCCACGACTTCGCACTCTAGCCACACTCGCATGACACACTCCAACCACATGCAATCTGTCCTCTGTCCTCTCACGTTCAACACGACAAGAAATGCCAGGATTTCCGCTTGTTGGACGACTCAAGACGAGCAAAAGTTAGGTCCCGTAGATTAAAATGACATGTCCATTACAGGACACATTATAAATCTCAATCACCTTCTTTCCCTCTCGAAACAGCACAGAAAACAGATGCTCGACGACGACGATTTACAAATCCACAACCACAAGCACGAGTTGAGAAAAGACATTCACAAATCACATGGTCAATGCACTCCTCATGGAAACCAAAAAAAAACCCCCTCCAAACAGCAATTTCCAACTCTGCAAGAAGTAAATAAAACTACGCATTTCATTCACCCTATTCAATGCCAACACTAATAACAAACAAACACGCTGCATATAGCCATAGTCGCATGTCTGCATTCAACTTCATTAACCCAGGGCCGCAAGCAAAGAATCCAAGCTCCCAGATACATCATTACAAAACAAAATAATGACTAGTAATCAAACGCTTGGTTGGGGGTATACAAGATGATGATCAAAACGCGCGCATATAAACGCCCACGTAGCCCCTTGCTGTTCAACGCCGAGTGCCAACATGGAGAATATACTGGTACGTAGGGGGCCAGCCGTTGCTTTCGTGGGTATCGTGCTGTCGTGACATCGTAATGGCAAGATCATCCGTAGGATAGTCTGGAGCCAAATGGGTTGGGTAAAGTGGGTTGATCTATGGAAGGCACCAAGGACCAGGAAATAATGTCGGTACATGACGACATAACGGGGTGGGTATCGAGAAGGGAGGGAGAAATCTTCAAAGGCCTTTGAGGCTAAATCCAAGATGGCAGGTCGAATTGTAGATGCAAGGTCAAGAAGCACGTAATCTTAGAATCGAGAAGTAGAACTGCGGGCCATGCTGGGCCTTGAAATCTTCTTCTGCGGCGAGCCGTTAGGCGCAACGGCAGAGGTCCTAGCTCCAATCTTCTCGAAGCCTTGGAGTAGGTCGATGCCTGGTTCAGACTCGTCACTGTGTAGGAGATGAAAGATGTCGTCATCGTCCTGTTGTGACTTTGCCGGTGCATGGAGCGATGGCGGGGGAGCCATGCTGGTGCGACCGTTTTCCTTCGCTGGGCTGGGAAGAGAAGATTCCGATACCGGGGCAGAGGTGGGAGGCTTCAAAACGGGTGCCTTGAGCGGCGAGAGATTCTTGACAGGCGACAGGTCGGGAATGTTGAGAAAGGAAGAGGACATTTTCCAGTTGGGAGTGGGCGAGTTGGTCATGTTGCCCTTGGAGCTGGTGATGTCGGCAAGTATGCCGCCAGTGGTAACAGCACGCTCGAGCCGGGGTCGCTTCGCACTGCGCTTGATAGGACTCTCATTGTAGCCAAAGTCACCAAAAATGTCAAATGTGCTCTCGAAGCCGTGGCCAACTAGGTTGACTTGCTCGTCATTGGGAATGGAGACGGCTGGGCTCCAGGTCTTGTTGTCCAGAAAGGATGTGTCCACCCACATGGCCAGGTTCTTGTCCGGCGAGCCACCGACCAGCTCCCGCATCTTGTTCCGGTGGTTACGCAGGTTGGTGTTGGGCGAGGCAGACGCAGGTGGGAGAGCGGGGCGCTTGAAGACGATGGCCGGAGTCAGAGGCCCATCGGTCTTGTTGGGTCGTCTAAACGGCGACGAGATGAGATGGCTATTGTCGGGCTGCTTCAAGTACGGTCTGGCCTTGGAGGGCGAGTCGTACGACGAGCCGCGGATACGAGCAATCTCTTCCTCGGCCCGTCCACGCTTCATGCTTGGGCGATCGAGATCTGCTTCCGATGTGAGTAGCGGCCCAAGAGGATTGCCCTTGATCGCGGACGACTCAATCGAAGAGTAGTAGCCGCTGTCCCCGAGGCCGTGGAACTTGCGCCTCCGTCCCCCTGAGCGACTGTTGCTTGGGAAGCGAGGAGCACGAGGGGGTGTGTCTTCGCGTGTCGAGCGGGCACGCGAGACGGGAGGGGGCGGTGAGGAGTGGATATCAGCGGGAGGTGGAGAGGAAGGCAGCTGGCGAGGCGGTGGCATGCTCAGAGGATCATGCCCATCATGGGCCGCCATGTCTGAACAGGGAATAGTGGCCTCTGACGAAGGAAGCTCGGGCTCATCGGGAAATTTGCTCGAGTCAAAGCCCTTGGTTGAGCTCATTGGCGGGAAGCTAGCAGACATTGACGTAGATGGACGTTGCACGTCGCTAGGATATCCCGATGTAAAGCCATCGGGATTTGTAGGTCGGCGAGTAGGTTTGGCAATGTAATACGTCTTCTCGAAGCCAGCATTGATGACCCAGTAGTGCCCCTTTCCGGGGTCATCCTTGGGGCGCTCCTGCTTGGAGAAGGCCTTGCACAGGCTCAGATTGTGGCGGATGCTATTCTGCCAACCCGTCTCCTGAGAGTTGCGATAGAAGGCAAAGGTGTCGGATATCCACTTGTAGATTTGAGCCAGTGTCAAGCGGCGCGTCGGTGCTCGCAAAATCGCCATTCCGATGAGCTGGGCATAGCTAAAGGCAGGTTTTTTGCCGTCGTCTTCGACGTCTGGCATCTGATCGGGGTCTGGTAGTGGTCCGTCCGACTCCTCGAGCTTGACTTCCTTGACTTTTTGCTTCTTACTGCGATCGCGCAGTGGCGCGGTATCCATGGATTGTTGCTTCACTTCGAGCTTCCTAGGTACAGATGGTTCCGAAGAGGCGGACGGGGTATTCATGGCGGCGGGCTCGGAATATGTGCACGCATTTTCTTTGTCCGCCTGAGACGACAGGCTTGTCCCAAAGTGGATGTCAGCCGCGTTTTGGGCTTCAAGGGAGGACGGCGCCTTCTTTGTTGGCGCGTCCGTTGGGAAGGATTGCTCTTGGGGTGGAGGCAGCATGACTGTGTTCAGGCCCTTTTCCACAAGGGCGCTGGGTGGGGGAGAGCTGGAGGCCTGGCGAGGCTTGCGGGGAGAGCCTTCGGTGGGTGAAGGGTGTGATGGTGGTAGTGGCGGTGCGAGAAGGGTGTGAGAGTCGGCCGACACGTTGGTGACGGAGGCAAAGGCGTCCAGGTAGCGCGGATCGTATGGCGAGACTTGGTGATGTTGTTGGTGCGGAAGTACGGGGTCTTGAAAAATCTGCATAGAGGGTTGTCGACGCGCTGCAGCCATAGCGAGAAGGGCCAACAAGGAGACCAACAGCCTTGTAGAGGCTCTCGCGAGGCTTTGACGCGTAAAGTCGCGTAGAGGAGTGCAAAATGGGAGCGTCGAGATGGGTGGGCACGGTCGGGGATTTTCAGTGCAGGCGGGAGATTGCGATGATGGTAGCCGGGGGTGGCGTGGATGGGCTATTCAGGTTGGTGCGGGGAGCAGTCGAGGGAGGTAGACTGGATATCATGTATTGTAGGATCTGCGACGGTGGGTTGATGGGTGGGGATGGGGAGCCAGAAGGGCAATGGAGGGCGGTGTGGTGCTGTCTTTAGGTGTAGGGAGGAGGGGTGAAGCAGCGGAGTCGTTCGCTAACTCGGCGCTAACAGGGCAGCTGTGACGAAAAGGCGGACCAGGTTGGCGGCAGATGTGCAGCAGCGAGCGGGCGGACGGACGGACTAAAGCAGAGAAGCGACGATAAGCGGTGGCCGAATGGGAAAAGGCAATGCTTGTGGTATGTGTTGTGAGAGGTGAGATAAGATGTTGGATGGTCAATGGGCCAATTGATGTGAAGAAGAGAAGAAGAGAAGAAGAGAGGAAGAAGAAGAAGAAGAAGAAGAAGAAGAAGAAGAAGAAGAAGAAGAAGAAGAAGAAGAAGAAGAAGAAGAATGGGGAAGATGGGAGGAAAGCGGAAAAGGGCAGCGATCGTGTGGAGATTTCGAAGCAAGTGTGCATGGGTGAGAGAGAGAGAGAGAGAGAGAGAGAGAGAGCAAGAGCGAAGAGAGACAGACAGGGCGGGCCTGGTCCTTGGAGAAGAGAGTACTAGTAGGTAGGTAGGATTGGGAGTCGACAAGGACAAGACAGGATAGAGTAGACTGGGGACTGGCAGGTTTGGCTGGCTGACACTGGCTACACTGACTGACTGACTGGCTGGCTGGCTGGCTGGCTGGCTGGCCAAGTAAACTGGCCAAGTGATTGTCATTGGCCATGAAACTGCCCTGGACTACAGACCAGAAACAGACGACGACGCCTTTTCCGCTCTTGCCAGACTTGTCCTTCATTTGCAGCAGCAACAGAAAGCAGTGAGCGCACCTGCCCTGGGCCTGGCGAGCTCCTTCCCGGATCACAAAAACGCAAGGGAAGGTGCAAGGGTGCAAGAGTGCAAGAGAGCAAGGGCTCACCGGCTGGCCCTCGACCTTTCCCACTCTTCCTCCCAATGAGCCGCGAGACCGACGCGTTCCCAGGGATCGAAGGGGGGGGGGAGGGGGGGAGAGAAGGGGCGCGTCATTCTTGCAGCCAGACTCCAGGAGCAAACCTCGCAGCCGGGCAGTCACGCTAGCCAGCTGTTCACTCTCCGTCGCCCTTGCCATCCCTGCCATCCATCCCCATCCCTGCCGTCCTACTGTCCGTGCCAGCCGCCACTTTTCTCCCAATTCACCATCGGCTTGGAGATCATCATCATCGACATCCACATCGACATTGGGAGCCAACTCACGCCGAAGCGGCCTCGACAGCCTTGGATGAGCCGGCCGTTGAGAGCGGAAGAGGAGTCTAAAATACATTCATGTGCCTACCTTACCTGCCAACCTACATAAGCTACCAGGCACAAAGGCTAGCTGTGTACTAGCCATGTACATGCAAGTCTCCCCACACCCTCCGCCTCTCAAAGCGCCTGCACAACGCCTCGTCTGAAACGGCTGCTTTGGAGCGCCCAAGCCCAACGGTGAAAGCTAGTGTGTAGGTACGAGGTAGTAGGCTAGGTAGGCGTGGACGTGAAACAGCGCTTCTATAGGTGCCAGGAGAGTATGTATGTATGTATGTATGTATGTAGTCTACAGTACGTACATGCATGCATGCATGTATACATGCACACCTAGTTCGCTCCCTACTTGGCCAGTTCGCCCAACTCGACTGGCAGCCACACAAGGCCCAAACTCATGGGGCGCATGAAACCACAGCCAGGCACAACGGGGATCATGGCTGCACCGTGGCTCAGCTAGCCACACGCCCATCGACCCTGCGCTGTGCTGTGCTGTGCTGTCCTGTCTAGAGTAGGATCGGCTGTCTAGAAAGCAAATCCAATTTGTCAAATGTCCATTAGCCAGGCACCTAGACCAACATCCTCCTCGCATCCTGCTTCTCGTCCTCACACACCCTCCTCTAGCTAGACTCGGGCTACGTGAAGACAATCACCGCGCACCCAATTTGCCTCTTCTCGCAACGCCCCCTCACCTCAACACACATGGAAAAGTATGCGATTGTCGGTGTACGGTAGACTATCCGCCATCCACTGCGAACTTCCACGTACTCTCAACCGTCCCAGCATGCTCCTCCTGTGCTCGCATCTCCCACCCACGGCACGCGTCTGACACCACTCTCACCTACGGTACCCCAGGGGTCTACCTGCCCCGCCAACCCAATCCCATCGTCATCCATAGCACCAAAGAGGTTCTCCCGCACCTTGATGCAGCCCTGTTGACGCGACTGTTCCGCTTTCAAGTCTGACTGTACTCTACCACTGGTACTTGACTACACTATGCCCATGCCCATGCCCATGCCCATGCCCCAGTCCATGTCTCTTCCCACGTAAACAAACACAAAGCAAGTCTAGTATTCGCATCCACCGGAAAACAAATCAACAAAGGATGGAATAGTTGGCAAACAGAGGTAGCGAACACGGTGACCCCTCACCATCCCCGCGCCTTCCAACACCAAAAACACACCACGGCTTTCAACACGTGCAACCCCTCACTCACACCGCGGACCCTCCTCCGCCAACAAACATCCCCAGCCCCCAGCCCACCCATGCATACCATCATACACACATGGCCCCACACTGGCTTAAAGTAGAGCATGTGGAAGAAGAAGAAGAAGAAGAAGAAGAAGAAGAAGAAGAAGAATTCAAAACTATAAAGTCCAGAAGTGCAAAACGAGTGACATGGACAAGAAAAGGAAAAACAAGAAAAACCACCCCATCCCCCGACCCCCAAAAAAAAACCCCCCAAATAAATCCACCTTCCAAATCCCCCACAATCAATCCCTCCTGCCAAGATTTTTATTTTTTTCCACATCCATCCCATCCCATCCCATCCCATCGCCCCCAAGCCACACAGCCCAACAAAAAGCCCTCTAAATCATCTTCGCCCCCCTAAACTCCAAACTATTATCCAACGCCTCATCCACCGGAATCGGCCACACACTCAACCGCCCACACGGCCCATTGCTAAACTCGAGCGCAAACTCAATCGGAAAGTCTCCCTGGCCCTGAATGGTGCCGAGATACAAGCTCAACGAGCCCGCAGAACAGGTGCTGTTGCTGTGCTGCAGAGGCAACGCGACGGCGCTGACGCTCGAGAGGGGCAGCGGTGTGGCTACGACGCTGCTGGGCGCGAGGAGCGCGCCGGAGCCGCTGGCGTAGGCGGTTGGGTAGCTGCCGTTGGCGAGGAAGAGGCCGGCGGAAGCAGAGGGGGCGGGTAGGGCGGGCGGGGCGGCAGAGGGGGGCTGCGTGAGGCGTAGGTGGCATTGCTGCATCGAGGGGACGAAGAAGGAACCTGCGCAGTTGGCCTGGAAGGGGGTTAGTATTCAAATCGTGGCCTGGGAGTTTTTTTTTTTCTAAATTCTTGGTGGGGCAAGGGCTACGTACGGTGGTTTGGCAAGCGATGCAGCAGTCGCGGCCAGAGGTCTTGTCGACGACTAATTCGTTCTCAATGGGGAAGCCCTGGGCTGGACGGTAGGTTACACGGTCAAAGATGAGCGTGTTGCCATTGCGGTCGGTGATGGAGTTGACTAGAAGAAGCCATGTTAGTATGTGGACGTGAGGATCACCGGTAAGCTCAGTGACCAAGTTGCCAGAGCCCGCTTACCAATGTTGTTGTCCTGGCATGCCTGGTAGATGGTCTCTGCCGGCTGAATCTCCGTCACAGTCTGCGTGATGCGAATGGTGCTTGTCGAGAGCGAGACGGCAGTACCAGGGGCGAGGAAGACGGTCTCGGGAAGGCCGGTGACAATGGAGATGGAAGTGCGGTTGACATTGACGGTGACGCGGCAGTCGACGCGAAGGATGAACTTGCGGTTCAAGCTGGTGGCATTGCCAGTCCTGTCGACAATGTAACCGCCCGTGTGGTTGAGCGCCGTCTGCCTCTTAAACAGGCTCAGCTCGTGACTATCACGGCCGGCAATCTCGCGCTTGACGCGGGATACACTGCCAGTGACCACGGGGGTGCTGACGGCAAGCAGATTGATGAATCCGGCGGGAGTAGGGACAACGACCGGAGCTTCAGTCGAGGTGGTGGTCTCCGTGACCGTGGATGTGGTCGTCAACACGTTGACAAACGTAGTGGCATCCGGTGTGGCAGTCACAGTGTCGTGCACGGTAGAGGAGAGGCTGAAAAGGTGCGTCGAAGTGATATACCTATACCAGGTAGGTACGGCTGCTGCGCCAGCCGTTCCCGTGGGAAGAGGATAGTATCCGAAGCGGGTGGTGCAGTCTGTTGCTGAAGCCGTAACATCCTGGGCAGCAACGGTGGAAATGGCTGCAGCCGCAGCTACAAAGGCAGGGAAAAGCATCGTGAAGGATTGACTGAAAGAACAGTGAACTATGAAAACAGATCGAGGTGGAAAAAAAGCGAGTGTGTGTTTGCCCGATGAGAGTTATCTTCTCTTCATCCAGAGCCTTAAATATATGTCATAACCTTGAGCATGGTCCATGAGGCGTAAAAGAGGCTAAGACGATGTGCTGAGGCTTCATGAGCTGGTAAGAAACGGGTGTAACAGATCATACATGGTGGACTGGACGGTTTCGAGCCGCATTTAGATGTAAAGACTCTTTTGGTCGTTGGAGGACTGCAATCTAACGTCAACAGACCCACAAAAGAGTTGATATTCCAGACGCCTCCGTTTGTGTCATGGCTCTACGACTATCATGTCTAGATGTTCGAGTGCGATTCAACAAACACGCTGTCTCGTTTATCCTCAGCTGTCGTTCAGCCGGTCCACCTTGCGATACCAATGCCAGAGCAACGGTATGAGGAGAGGAGAATCGGCCAAAAAAGACCATCAGAGTACCGGCTGGATGGTGCTGTATTTGAAACAGCATGGATCCTACGCAATCGCATGAGCTAGCAAAAGAATGTAGTCGTACCAGACTCGACCCGCAAAGGGAAAAAGGAGCACGACATGTATTCAGTGGCCATGCAGGGCGGGTGGAAGTCGGCTAGAATTAGCCAATGGCCAATTCAACTGAAGAACAACGAGGAGAGAGAGTGTGTGTGTGTATGTTTGTGCGTGTAAATTCTAGAAAGACGTCAATTCGTGTCACATATAGCCATGCTAACTCGAAGCCCTTCTTTTCACCACCAATGCGCATAGGCAGCCATCAGCAGGTAATTTGTGCCGTTGAGAGTTGTCGTGAGGTCACTGAGTCGTGGCCATGAGTGGCGCTTTCTTTTCTCCCTTACTTCCACAAGGCAGATGATCTGGACCCAAATACAACGGTGACACCTCTTTCACGCCGCTCGGACTCCGTTCAACGGTCTTGCCAAATCATCGTCTTCGATCAAGAAAGGGATAGGGAAGTCTTGCGCGGTCTTGAATCGTTGGTAGTAGAATCTATGGTAACGTCCAAAGCACACCTTCTGGTCTAACGCCTGGGTCATGAAGAAAATTCCAACATGAGTCGTATTCACATCGCTTACGAAATTGCAAAGAAAAGTGAGGGCAATTGTGTTGTCCTAGCCCTCAAGATGATCCGTGTTATGGACACACAAATGTGTCGTAGACGCAGATGCGGCCTCTAATCATGGCGCGACCCAATCCTGAGACCCGGGACGCCCTTCAGCCCCATCTTGCCAATCGTGGATTTCTCAATCATCGGTGGTTCGGGGCAGCCCATTGTCCTTGCATATTCGTTTGCCAGGCGTACAAGCTGTACTGAGGTTAGTTCCAGCTTCTTGAGGAAAGTCTTGTTATATCCAAGGAACGCTTGGTAAGCCTTGGACTTTGCAGTCTCATCCACGTTCGTGAAGGCGCGAGTGATTTCCGCTTCATGTTTGGGAAGACGCGATACAATATCGACAGGATATGGCTTGATAGGTAAAGTCTTGCTGATCCTTGGAAAGAAGGATTCTTGCTCATAGAGAATGATAACTGCACGTCCATCTTTACCAGCACGGGCGGTCCGTCCAACACGATGGACGTACTGATTGGTGCTCGTTGGAAGGCCCAGCTGAATGACCAACCCCACGTTGGGAAAGTCCATGCCACGACCAACAACATCGGAAGCGAACAGGATTCCACTTCGAGCCTCCTTGAATTCTTTTGTTGTCCGTGTCCGTGCTGGTTGGGACATACGACTGTGCAGCTCAAACGAACGAAACTGCGGCAGAGCATGCCTAAACAAGTCATAGAGTAGTCCAACACCGTTCGCTGTAGTGCCAAAGACAATGGCCTTGAAGTCGGTAGGGTCCTGGTTGTATTCTTCTTCAATCAACGCCGAGAGTGCTGCAAAGGTTTGGTTAATGGTGGGAATAATGACGGAGAACTGAATTACGCGTTCGTGTGTCAGCGCCTCGTAAGGATCCACAGTAGATAGGTGTGTGAAGCCGGGGAACAGCACAATCTTGGCAATGCTAAGCACCTCTTCAGGGAGAGTGGCCGAGAAACACATGCCCTGCCATCCGTCGCTTTTGGGCGGGATACGCTTCAGTATCTTCCTGACGGCAGGCGCGAAACCAGCGTCGAGCATCTGGTCGGCTTCGTCCAGAACGACAGTCTTAAGATGAGTAAATTTTTCGCGCACCGATTCCTCGCCAAGGATGTCATCGAGGCGGCCAGGCGTAGCCACCAGCACGGTCGGGTTGTTATTGAGGAAAGCCCTGAGGCTGGACACGCGCCGAGTACCGCCAAAGGCCGTGTGACATTCCATCTTGTGGGGTAGGCAGGCGGTGACGCCATTGACCTCCTTTGCTATCTGTAGCGCCAGCTCTCGCGTCGGGCAGACGATAAGAATGGCGACTTTGCCCCGTGGGGGCATGTTACCAGCCAGGAGATTTTGAATCGCGGGTAGAAGGAAGGCGACAGTCTTGCCCGTGCCCGTCTTTGCCTGTACTACACAGTCGGACGACAACGAAGGCAGCTCTGTCAGCACCTTTTGCTGGACGGGCGACATGTACCTGACTGGGTTAGCACTAAAATCTCAATTTTCTAGCAATGTTTCTGGGGGGCGGTCTCACTGGAAGCCCATTTTGTCAAGGCCATCGAGCAGGCTTTTGTCCAGACGGTCCTTGAGGTCGGAGAAGGGCTTGGGTGCGGCGTCGCCCGCCGCAGTGCTGTACATCTGCTTTACATCGACAGGACTGGCGGAGGTGGGAGGTGCATCTTCGACCTTGGGCCGTTTTGGATGTTGGCCAAGTGCTGTACGGGGTGTCATGGGCGCCGTGGGCGTGGCGCTGCCGTTGGAGCGCTCGCCGCCGTTACGACGGGGCCACTTGCGCTTTGCGGGTGGTGGAGGCATAGTGGAGGCTGGCTGCAGGCTGTTTTGAGGGCTTACACGGGGGTAGCAGGTAGTGTCAAGGCGGGTAGAGGTGGTGAAAAGGCGGCCGGGGGATATTGTATCAGTTGAAGATGGCAGGCGTGCAGCAAGGCGAGCAAGAGCGAACGGCCGATGTGGGAGAGACTGCCAAACAAGGTTCATTGTCTTCGCAAGCGCGTAGTGAAATACACAGTAAGGTACCACCGAGGTAGAACACCAGAAGAAGAATCAGGATAGACGGCGAAAAAGGTGAATGAGAGTCGAGGAGTCGATGAGCGCTAGGAAGGCAACTGAACGAACCTGCACCAGAAAAAAAGTCGAACGCGCAACGTCAGAGGGGTCTGGCCCATCCACGGCTCATGACTCGGTAGGTAGCCGGTGTCACGTGAGCGTGTTTCAACCACGTCCACGGGTCAACTGGCCCTATACCATGCACATCACAGGCATGTCGATGCCCGCTCCAGACAGTAGATTTGCAGTGGCAATCATGACAAGTACGTATGTTCATCGAGATTATGTATTAGACTTGCAACAAGAGGATGCCATTCTATCGTTCAACATCGGAAGCCATCAACTAGTAGTTACTTACCGTATGGTAGTCAGGTACTTGTATCTCCGAGTCCTACTATCTAATGTAATACTACCGGTATAGGCTCCTCACATAAGCTGACTTATACATGGAATTCACCCACTTACCTCCTCGGCTATTTCGCACATTGTCTCTCTAGGCTGGATTCAGGTCCACTCCTCTTGCAACTCGCCACTGTCTATACGGAAACACCCTTTGTTATGCGGCGCATGAGTATCCATGCGTGCAATGCACCTTCCATAGGTTTTGTTGGCTCAAACGACCCTTAAGAACCTCCTCCATTTGTACTCGATTTGGCCTTCCTGGAGTCTCAAGGTGATTGTCACACCGGCATAATCCTGATCCATTACGAATGTATCATAAAGAGGCGCAAGATCTGGACTACGCTTTCTCCTTTTAGAGTCATACCGAATCTGTGTTCGTTCGCCATAACTAGGGTTGAGAGCCTCCGTACGGAAACAACGAATCAGGAGGGTATGCTCAGTCGAGTTATATCGGCGCTCGAATGCGCATAGCACGTCATACGAGTGCCTGCCTGAGTTGAGAAAAGCTGCTACTAGAAGATCAATCGTGAAATTCCAGAGCGCTTCGATTTAACCCATTCGCTAATCTCTATAAACCTCATCCAAGATTAGCTTCTCGTCTGCTGGATTCTCATTTCTCCAACGGCCTTCTAGAGCGACAGCTTCTCGAACCATATTTTATAGACAAGACAGCTGATGGATCGACTATCAATGGCTAGACAGCGACACGCTTATTCCGCGATGAAAACGAGCCCATTCGCTCTGCGCTTCCTCACTTTGCTGCTCACAATCGTAAATCCATCGGATGAGGAGTACCTAGGTACACTACGGTAAAAAATTGTTTACTGTAGAATGGTACGCTAGGGGTTTACTATATAG